TCCTCTTGGCTCTCGGTCCTTCTTGTCGCAGGGGTACGGAACCCACTTCCGTATCAACGCGCGCGGGCGCAGGGCAGTGGTGATGACGGATCGAATTTCTGTCTATACGGGTTGTGAACAAACGGCGCACTCAGGGCCTTCGTTTATCCATGATAGGTGTATCTAACAAGCGCACTATCGGCCTTCTCCTAGACACTGTGACTTTGAGACGCTCTCAAGGCCTTCTCTCCGACACTGTATGTAAACACGCACTGACGGCCTTGTTTAACACACATTAGAACATAAGTTCCCCTCAATTGGCTCACCAATTCAATACTCAATTCAAGACATAAAATGATGATGAGGTACATGGGGTATTTATAGGTACCAACTATCTCTAATGCTAATCTTACTAGGAAACTATTAAAACATTTAAATATTAAATCCTAAGGCTAGTAAATATCCTACTACCATAAATTCCTAAATCTACTAGATCTCCTAATTACTTGTCTTGCACTTCAAGAACTTCTAGAAGCTCCAAGTCTTGCGCCCAAGTACACGCACGCCGCCTCACTCACGTCGCCCTTGGCTACCCTATTCCTTGGCGCGCGAGACATCGCGCGCCTTGCCTGCTTCGCACGCGCACGCCCCTGCCTCGCCTAGTCCCACGCGGACTAGGCTTCGTCCGTCTGCCTTGCATGTGCACGCCATTCCTATTCCTTGTAGGACCATGCTTCGAACCCATATGCACTATTCCTATTCCTACTAGGAATATGCTCCCGGTTACGTTTCCTGATCTTCCGAGGATTACTCCCGTCACCGATCTCCCACGTGCGTTTTGACACTCAATTGCTTTTCCTATTCCTGCGAGGATTAGTATTTGCGTCTTCCCTATTCCTACTAGGATTAGGCATGCCGCCTTGTTCTTGCATTGTGCCTCGTGCGTGTCGCCGTGCGCCCCGCGCTCGTCGTCTAGCACTCCTATGCCTACGCGGTCTAGGCCATCGCCCGTGTTGCCCCACACGTCGCTGCCCATTGTCCGCACGTCTCTGCCACCTCCGTACATGCTACGCACGCCCAGCGTCCCGCGCACCGCGCCTCGCTCGTCCATCGCGCGTCTATGCACGCCCAGCACCGCCCGCGCATCGCCCAGCGCCCGATACGCGCTCGTCCATTCGCTGCAATCCCTCGTGACCATCTTCTTGCGTGCCCTCGCGCACCTCCCTGCACAACCCTCATTAACTGCTTCGTGCACTCGTGCATCACGTCCATGCACTCCTCGATCCAATCCCATCCACATACGCGCTCGTACCCGTCTTTTAGGCCATGCTTGCATCGTTTTTGCCCTATTTTCAGCCTCCTTGAGTCCTCTTGGCTCTTGGCCCTTCTTGTCGTCGGGGATCAAAACCCACTTACACATCATTCCCGCCCCCTTTGAGAATGTCCTTGTCCTCAAGGACTCATCTTCGACCATCCAAATCTCGGGCACTTCTTCTTCGATCACGTTCACATCCCACTCACAGTCCTCGTCGATCTGTACAAACACCTCGCTATCGTCAACAACCATCTCTTCATCTGTACTGTATCGCGCGTTCGTCACCTCATCATAGCCTCCATCGCCCACGACCCAAATCGCCTC